AAAATAGGATTAGCATTTAGATCTTCTTGTACAATATGATTAAGATTAAATCTTGTTTGAAACCATGTTATTGGTTTATTAATATCTTTTATCCATTGTGTATTCCATTCAACTTTCGATGAGCCTTGTTCTGTATAAATTTGTAAATATTCTCCTATTAAACCTTTTTGATGTTCCCAAAGATTTGTTTCATCATTTACTAATAATTGATTATCAAGCCATATATTTCCCACAATACCTTTATACTCAAAATTATTATCCCATACACCATTATCAATACCAAGTGAAATAGAAAGAATTTCAAATAAATATTGTTGATTTGGTTTAAATATTGAAAGATCTAATGATATTGTTGCTATTAATGAACCTTGACTATGATCATGATTATCGAATTCACCTAAATATTCTCCATTTAAAAAGAATAATAATGCATTTGCTTTACGTGTTTCAACACGAACTAATGTATGTGATTGTATTTGTGTTTGTGTTAATGTTATATTACGACGATACCATAAATAAATTGTTTCATCATTTGTTATTTTAAGTTGTTCTATTGGATATAATGAAGTAAGAACAGGTAAATATGATGTAACTTGTTCTGACCATGTTCGCCATTCAAGTGGACCCATAACAATAGGAAAAATTTCAGTATTATCACTTCGAATATCACTTATATTAGTACTATCCCATAATAAATTTAAATTATCATCAAATATACGTACCGAATGACCAGTCATAGTAAGATTTTTATTACGAAAAAGTACATTATATGTATTATCATTTTGATTACTAATAAAATGAAGTGATGGTGGATAAGAATAAACAAATTGTTGAGTACCTATTAACCATTTTTGTCCATTCCAATATGGTAATAGTGTACGAATAGAATCTTGACTTAATAAAATTTGAGCATAATTAGCAATTAAATGTTGAAGACGACTTAATTGAGTATATTTTGGTTCATTTGGTGTACCATCAGCATGAAGAAGTACATCATCAGCATACATTGTTGTTATACCTGATGCAGCTGTTCGTCCATAATTATTTCCTCCATGCCACATATAATATGAATGATAAGAACCACCACCAGCAAACCATTCAGCAACAGAATAAGCAGTATCAACTGTTGTACGTATAGCAACAGCTTCACCCCATGCTTGAAACCAACCTTCATTTTCCGTAAATAACATTGGTTTATTTGGATAATCACGTCGATGATTATCAATCCAACCATCATCTAAACAATTACATGAATTACATGTTTCAATTGTTGAATTAGCTGCATGACCATTACACATAATCCATACAAGTTGTGCTGATGAAAGTTCATTTATTACTAATCTACCACACCAATCGACATAAGCTTGATCATTACCATTATATTCATTTTCAATTTGAGCAAGAATAATAGGACCACCATTTTTAGCAAGATATGGATTAACATATTCAATAATCTTCATTAGAAATGTACGCATTACAGTTTTCCATGCACCATTATTTGAACGAAATGATATATTATGTATTTGATTAAGCCAAACAGGTAATCCACCATTATTCCATTCACCACATATATATGGACCAATACGTAAATTAACAAATAAACCAGCATCGGCAGCATCTTGAAGAAATTGACTTAAATTAGCACGACCACTAAAATCGAATACACCTGGTTTTTGTTCATGTATATTCCAAAATACTAATGTTTGAACGGTATTAAGACCTTGATTTTTCGCCATTTTCATAATATAAGGCCACATACCTGGTGTCGAACGTGGATAATGTATAGCACCAGATATAAGCATTGTTCGAACACCATTAATTGCAATAGCTCGATGATCATATGAAACACTATAAGGTTTACCTCGGACATTTTCATAAGTCACTGGACTTGTAACTACATAAGGTAAAAAATCAAGACACACGTATATTAATAGTAACCAATGCATCTTTGTATTTGAAGGTCTGACTGAAAATACTATGCAATGTAAATAGACGATAATTTCTATGTTTACCTTGCTCACTACCTTTTTTTATTCTGTTTTGTAGTGAAGAGAAAAAAGCATATAAATGATAAACATGTGACTAAGAATGAATCAAGACTTGAAGAAAAGGAGAAAAGACAATATATAGACAAGTGATTTATCATCAAATGATGCGTATACAGAACGTTTAGTTAGATGGTAAAAAAGAGCAGGCAGTTACTACAATATGTCGCATATTGTATTTTTTTTTCTTGTAAATACTATCAAAATTTTATCTTATACCTTTTCATACTTTTATCATATAAAAACAAAAGTTCCTAATATAATTTAGAAAATATTTTCTATAAAAAATTAAATCAATTTGACAATTATTTTACAATATGCAAATGTGTCGTCTGTTTGCTGAATCATTTATTCTTCAAACTTTGTATTCTATTCGTTATAAAATCGACAAATAGGTAATAATAGTAAAAGAAATGCAAATTTGGTTTGAGTATTTTTTTCTTTTGGAAATTTATGACAAATTATATTCTTCAATAGAAATGCTAATAAAAATTTTTTTTTGATAAAATCATTAAATAGAAATTTTCAACGAATAATTAAACTCTGAAATATGATAAATAAATTCTTCATGAAACGAACACATTATAAATAACCTTCAAGTTAAACAAAATTTTTTTATAAGTATAACATACATGTAAAACTCGAATAGTCGTTAGAACTATTCAACTATTCAATAGATGAATAATCGAATTTACGACTATTCAACTATTCAATAGATGATTAATGGAATTTACAATTATTCAACTATTCAATAGTTGAATGATCGAATTTTTACGGCTATTCAACTATTCAATAGATGAATAATCGAATTTACGACTATTCAACTACTCGAATATTCACTACTTCACGACTATTAGACTATTCGAACATAGATTGGATCGGAACGACTAAAATACTGCAGACATACTTCGACTCCCATGGAACAGGAATAGTCGTAAAGTCGTAAAATCGTTAATACAATCCCTCCCTCCCCCACTCTCTCCCCACAGAATAGAAGCCCATTGGGCTTCTAATTTGTTCTGAAAATTATAAATTTGGACATGTGCTTTTATTGCGATAAACTTTTTTCACACTGCAGCTAAGATTTACTTGACTTACAGGCACAAAAGGTCTTAAAAATTTACAAATCGAAATCATCAAGTTGTTTGATAACTTTCAGAATACCTATCATAGTTTCTTAGGAACTAAGAAGTGGTTACTAATTCTTTATCGGATATACATTATCAAATGGACAAAGTAGTGCGCTATTTACATGACGTTTTACATTCACATACTCATCTACCCTCAGCATTTCGTGGATCTTGCTATGGATACGAAAAACTGCGTTGAACATCATATGTTGATATTGGGCATGTCGAATTTTGAAAGAACTTAAAAGAGACCTCTATTAGACATACATCGATATAGTTCTGATAGACGACTTCATCATGATAGCTTATGCACAGTTCAGATACAAAACGAAATATATTTTAATTATCACCTCAAAAATATAAAATAACCCTGTGACTGCATAATAAAGATCTTCCACTCCTTGAGAGATAAGTAATTCAAATTTAACAAATGTTATAACAATTCATATTATATCATCTCATACTGATATTTGTTTTTAAATCTAATAACTTATCGCGTAATTCGTATTGTTCATAAGTTAGATTTCTCAAAAGTCTCATCCATTAATAAAACATTTGCTCATATTGCTGCTAAGCAAATAAAAAACCTCAATATTTCGTTTTTGAGGTATACATAACCTTGTAAGATGAAGAAACCTAACAGAACGATATTATTGCATGTCTTATTTCGAATGGCATAAATTTGGTAGAAATAATAAACGCTGAAAGTAAAAAATATCAAAAGTGCTCTTAATGTAGCTTCAGTGCACCCGTTTATCAACACAGCGTGAATAATCTGCAGAAGGATCTATGTCCTGCATTTACATATGATTAGTGTGTGCTAAAGAGGCATTAATAATGCTTTCGATATTTTCTTCTTTCGACGTTTTTATTTCTACTAAATTTATACATATCGAAATTTCTATTTTTGAGAGATCGAAAAATGAGTTTTTGCTTTAAACTATGATTAATACCATTTGTATAATCGATTGATATTATCTGATTGAATGCAGAATTTTTTTCTCTATCAGAATATATAAGAAGAATTCCGAAATAAAAGGTTTTTTAAAATTGTTACGCGATGAATATAGGCCCGATTGCTTTTTTCGGTCTTTCAAAAATATGCAAGAAGTTCGTTATTACTCGACTAAAAATGAAATATATATTATACTGACATATCGTTTCTCTGTATTCTAACGATAGATTTTCACGAATGATACTATTCAAAATGATTTCATATTACCCATTATTGGAGAAAAAAGACGTCCCGCAATCTTCTCTTTCGATTGGTGAAAAGCGCAGATCGCTAACTATTACAATTGTGAAGTTATTAAATTTCCATCTATCTCTATCTAATTCTAGCGTGAACATTATTTGCAAGTGATTATATAAGCAACTTTCATTTTTTAATACAGGAGAAAAAGAAATTTTTCTATGAAGTACGAAGAGTTTTGTTTGACCTAAAAATGAATATTTTCAATTAATCTAAGATTAACCTATACACATTATTTCTATATTGAAAATTGATTCTATTTTAATCTTTTTGAATTATTTTATATAATATATAGTAAGAGATATATCATATGAAGAAATTTTCGATATAATAAGAATCTTTTATGATTAGATTATTTAAGCAGCTATTATTTTCGAACAAATCTTATTTATTCTCATTGATTTAATTCATTTTATATTGATTGATTCAATTCTCAAAAACAGATTATTTTTTTTTTACTTGACCATAAACAAAACTTTTTGTTAAAAATAGACTATAATTCATATTGATTTTAAATTTTTAATATTACGAAAATGAATGAAATTACAATGATATTTTGTTTATTAATTTGTAATGTGTATTGTTCTTTTTTTATCTGATAATGAATATATATATCCAGGTGGAATTTCGAATGATACAGATGGTAAATCTATTCAAGTTCATGCAACTGCTCTTCTTATTGATCCAATTGATAAATCATATTGGTGGTATGGAGAATCTCTTAAAACTGCAACATTATCTGATCATGATATTCATTGTTATCATTCAAAAGATCTTATAAATTGGATAAATATAGGTCAAGTACTTGGACAAAAACAAATTTTTATTAAAGATCTTTCAGGTCCATATGTTATTGAAAGAGCAAAAGTTGTTTGGAATAATAAAACAAAATTATTTGTTATGTGGTTTCATCTTGATAGTTATGATTATAAATATCGTTATGTTGGTGTGGCAATATCACCTATACCAAATGGAATATTTTAATTTGTTAATGCATTTCAACCAGATAGAATTCTATCACCTCATATGAATATTTATCAAGATAAAATAAATGATATTGTACAAGGTGTTTATCTTGTTCGATCATGTAATAATCAATATGTTCGAATAAGTAAATTAACTGATGATTATTTAAATACAACTGGAATTATAAGTCAAATTAATGAAACAAGAGAAGGACATGCCATTTTTTATAGAAATAATCGTTATTATATGATGACAAGTCATTTAACTGGATGGAGTTCAAATCCAGCTGAACTTTTTATAACTAATCAAAATAATTTAAAAAATGCTAAATGGTATTCATTAGTAAATCCAACAAATTCTTCAATAACTTTTAATTCTCAATCAACATTTGTTCTTTCATTTCCTTGAAGAAAATATCCTGGAAATATTTTCTATATTTATATGGGTGATCGATGGAATTATCCTAATTTATTAAATGCACCTTATGTATGATTACCTTTTACATTTAATTCAGATATTAATGTTACATTACAATGGCAAGATAAATGCTCTTTAAATGATTATTAACTATTTTATTTTAAATAAAATATCAATCATTATAATTAATCATTTTTTATTTTAACTTACTATTATTTAATTAGAAAATTTTTTTTTCTAATATAAATATGAGACAAGTTAATAAACAAAAGATTAGAAAATTCATTAGTTAGTAGATTGCTTAAATAATAAAAAAAAACTAGAATTTGTAAATATTTTGTGAAACACAATCTAAAAAAGAGTATTGAAACGTATACGGGTACAAATTTGGACCCACAGACCGTGACTGACTTTTTAATTAATTAAATCCTTATTAGAGACCGCAACTGATATCTTTACTAATTAATTAATTGAGATCTGATTAATTAATCACCCATTACAAATCGTGACAGACAGGCTGTTCGAGTCATCACACGGTGAGAAACACAGTCAAGAGACCATCAGACACTACAATAGACGAATTCAGGATACTATCAGAGGTCACATGGAACCCAGATCGAGTTATTATATCTTTGAAGTAACTCCTTATTGAAGTTCTATGCTCTAAATAAAGGATTAATACAGAAACATAGCTAGGTATAGATAAAAGACAAGGTTTTAGAAAATTAGTAACAATGAATATATATCGTCTTTGACATTTTAATCCTGCACGGATTGCGCGACATACCTTTTCAAAGTGATATGATAAATTTTTTAGGACAATCAATTGTTTTATGTTCTTAAAATAGCATTACATGCGTAAAACATTTGAAACTAATTATGATGTGACTCACACAAATGATCTCATAGAATATTCGAAAAGTGAAATCTATACCATTAAAATTATTTACCTTCCTTTTTCTTAATAAATTAAAATAAAAACAAATAAACTAATATATTTTATCTACTACGACTGACGTTATTGAAAGATTTTTTTCTTTCTTTACTTATTTTGCTTATTTCAAATTGAAATAAATTCTCATATCAACTGTGACATATATATGATGAAAACATAGTCTCAAATGCAAAAGATACATTTTAATCATAAGAATTATCATTAAACGAAACACTTCTAATATGATCTTTGTTTGTCGTAAGACATACAAAAATATCACTCGAAATATCAATGATTACAGTGTTTGTTAATATTGAAATATCATATGTTCGTTAGTAAATACTATTGATTGAATATATGCTTTTCAAATTGGATAGATCTTTATTTCGACTAGTTTTTCTTTCAGATAAGTCATCGTAAGGAGAAAACATATCACTAATTGATTTATATTCAAATGAGTTCGATACAGAATCTGAATACATACTCAATCTTTCACACGCAGAAAACGAAACACAAAGAATATTTGAACTAACAGATAATATAATTGAATGAATTCTGTTAAAAATCCTTGATACCTCATAATCGCTATTTACACTTGATTCGTATTTGATTTGATCAAAAAGATAGAATGGTTTTCCATGTCCACTAATATGTCCATGCAATATTGATTTTATTAATCACTATAAATATTTTTATATACAATCAAATAATATTTTTTATAATAAATATTTGTAAAATATAACAATATAATGCCTCTCTTCCACAGCATTCTCTTATAGTGCCCAAGCTAAATGTAATAATTTATTCTAACATAACAAAAATAGTACATTCGATAAAAAAAAGCGTATCAGACTACGGAATAATTGAAAAGTCAACAATGACGAGGTGATTATATAGAGAAATAAAGATGAACTTCGTTATAAGTCGTTCTTAGAGATCCTATACTGATTTTTTATATTCAAAAATCGATTTTTCAGCAGCCTTTCCTGGACAAAATGTATGATCTAGAAGATTGGAAATTTTTAGAAAAGATGTATCTTTTAGTGCTCTACCTACAATGAATTTATTAGAATTCTATCTGATATCAGTCAAAAGTTATAAAGGATCAAAAATGCTAAAAACTCGAATTTTTGCATATATTCAATGGATTATAAGAACCCAATTGGCTCAATTGTTCGAAACAAAAATTTTCTAAGTATAACATAATAGAATATATGTCTATACAAAATTTCAGTTCAATTGAGGCAGTCATTATTGAGATATAACTAAATTTGTATCCCTGTTACATAAAATAGGTCTTAAATGGTGAATTTGAAATAGTCGACCATGTATATTTAATAGTAGAGAAAAAAAACCTATTCATCAATATTTTGGACAAAACAATGAAATAATTCTTAATAAAATCTAAATATGAGTATCTATATAAAGAATAAATTGTTGTCTTTATGAATATGATTATAGAAATATTTTACACAAGGGATATTCATATCATATGTTGATATATCAGCAAAAATCTACCATAATTATTAGAGTAATTATTTAATAGTCATCATATTAATCTCCGAGAAGATTTCATCAATCATAAAACACAAATTCGAAAAAAAGAAAACTAAAAGATATTAATGAACTCAAGCATTTTTTTTTATCTAAAGAATTGAAAAATACTGAAATTAATGTTGTAAAAGAAATTATGTAATGTCCATACAAAAAAATATTTGTCTTTCATTTCTTCTAAAGATGAACAAATAAAATATTAAACTATGACGTTCAAGAGTACTGATCATCAAGAAGCTGCGCTTCCATATTTTTTTCTGGATCCAAACTCGACTTGTTTTTCCCTAATATTTAGCACTTTTTGTGTCAATGACGATTTTTTTTTATTAATTGATCGCACTTCAAAAAAAAGGCCCTATAAAGTTTTTTTTTGTTGTTCCACACATAATTTGGTTTAATTTTGAAGCTAAATGCAAAGATAAATCGATATCCTGGATCAAGATCGTGACCTAAACTCGAGTCAAGAAAGAGCTGCAACTTTCTACTCACCATAGATTATCAAGCACTTTCGAAAACATTTAAGCAAAATTCATACGTAAGAAAATACATCTCTCATAAGATATCCAAATTTATTTTGCAAATATTTATATATGTCGTTGTATAACCAAAAACTATCGTGAAACTTTTAGTTACTATTTTCAAAAAGTAAGCATCTACTTTTTTGTGATGATCGTGCAAGCGACTAAATCAGTTGGCTTACACCTAGACATGAGAGAGACCAACCTTTTCTGGAACGAACATTTGAAAAATGTGACTAGAAGTTTTAAAATGAAGCTTTTCTCTTCTCCTCCTCTTATAAACAATTGCCGTTGGATACGATGAGGCACGATATATAAATTATTTTTCGGTTTTCTTTCTCTCTATTACAGACAATTTTTCAGTTAAATTGATTATTAGAAAAATAAAATAACGAATAGTTAGCAAGGAACAAATAAAAAATAGAGCGACAATAATAACAATTAGAGATAAAACTTCGAATATAAATAAAAAAAATGATTGCTCTGATGACCGATTGTTCTGAAAGTAATTAGCGTTTATTTGATATTATTCATTTTTATGTACTCAAAAAGTGACTACACCCTAGAATCGGTCGGAGTGCCCGTCCAGCCGGTCGTTTACACGATAACTCTTTACAATTATATTCGATTGAGCTGAAATTTTGTGCACAGAATTGTCTCATCAACATCTCGTTCGAGAAAAGAAGATGAGAAGGATCCGTCAAGAAATGGTTGAGTTATCGAAAAAATTGTCATTATTGACCAGACCATTTCTGAGGGGGCGTACAGGATGTCTTTTCGAAAAAAATATTTTTCTCATAATTATTCACAGCATAGATAAATCGACTCAGTTTTTAACGCTGATTCGGAATCTGATATTAGTTTTGAATTAAATCGTAGTTTTCTAACGAAAAATTGCCTGAAAAAGGTCTCAAAATGCACAAAAACTGCATCCAGAAATGAAATTACCTAGATATATCTAAGATGACCAATAGTTTTGGAGTTTCCCAAATGCTTGATTATGTAGCTAGTCAAAAAGACTATCGAAAGGTAAAAAGTCGAATCGATAGGTATTAATATCGGTGAGTTATTATGAAAATACTAATGTCTCTGTGGATCATATATCTATCATAGATTGATTCATGAGATTACATATGACTGTAATTCCGCTAGATCCAAGCACAAATCCATTTTGAAATAACTCCTCCTATCCAATTTTCTAAGCTGAACACGAATCTGAAGTCAGTTTCTGTGATTTATAAAGAAATTCTGTCACTCTCGCAGTCGAGTCAATGGTCATTAGATCGGATCGCCTCGAGTGTAGTTCATACTAAATTAGTTCCTCAGCTTTTCTATCCTTATAATTTAGTGGTAAGAGATGTGTCTTGACGAGATCTGTCTTATAGAAAAAGAAGCCTAGGATTTCATGGACCACGTGAAAAAAGTCCAAAATATCATCTTCCGGAAAGTGATATTTCTTCGGATTTACACAGTTTTTGACTTTTATCTCATATGTTACTCACTTGAGTACAATGAATTTGTAGACTAAACTATTTTCTGTTCAATTGAGACGT